AAGGGGAGACCAGGGACCTCTCCGGAGTCTTGCCGTGGCTCTCCATGCCCACGTTCAAAGCGGAACCCTGCTGACTCGGACTGACAACGGGGTTACCGCCGCAAGGAGGGGAGAAGTTTCCGGGACTGATGTGCCCACTGTCGCGTCTCTTCTTCCCCCTCCCCTTGCCATTGCCTGTTGCCATTTTCCCCTCGCATCCAGACTCCATGTTGTCATTCGGGGAAAGGGTGCTCGCTTCCCTTTTCGCCATCTGGCCCGTACCACTTTGACCTGCCGTCGTATTGTTGTTATTCCCAGCGCAAGGCGTTTGACTATTCTGAGAAGCATTGCTCTGGAAATACTCTGCCCCTGGGCCACTACTGCCAATGCTATTTATGTCCTGCTCAACCTGACCTGCTTTGCGTTTGGCCTCATTTTGACTTTTCTTATTAAAAGTCACATTGAGGTTCGGGGCCCCAAGGCTGGCGATCATATTCTGGCAGGCCGTGGAGAGAGCTGCCAGACAGCTTTGGCCAAACACACTGTCTTTTGTATTGGCTTTGTTCAAATTCCCCAAAGAGAGGGCCCCAAGCTTATTGACTGACAGGTGCTGGCTGGAGAGGTACTCGGGATGGGCGGGATAGTTCCCTGGAGAGGAGCTAAATCCTGGAGGATTGTTCTGGGGGGCTCCCTGTTGACTCGACCCTCCAGGAGGGAAGCTGTGCTGCCTCCTCATCACCATTCCTCCAAATTCAGCCGGCCTCCTGTCCGTGGGTGCGCCTGACTGCATGTTGCTCTCATCGGGAGACTGCATCTGCAGAGGATTGCTGACATTATTTTCGAATGGATGATGTGCTCCCGGAGAATTCAAAGACTGCATGTCCATGCTTGTGACACCTTGCCTACAAATAATGTGTCCATTCTCTGCCTGCTCCAAGGCATGCGTGTTTGTTTCTCTACAATGCTGCTGCGGCTCAGGAAACCATGAGTTTTCTTGAGGTAGGTGGGGGCTGTCAAAGTTTCCATGAAAATTATGCTTCTTCTCGAAATTGGACTGAGACACACTACCCAGAGGGCCTCTGCAGACCATGCCATTTGATGTGACGTCCCCGTGGAGACTTAACTGTTGCAGGTCGGGTTGTCTCATTCTCTGCTGCTGGCTCCTCGATGCCATTTGTTTAATCATCATCGCTGCGTTCTGCTGCCGCTGCTGTTGTTGTTGCTGTGGACCGGAGCTCAAGGGTAGAGGGCCTGATGGAAACCCATCCGTCACATGAGATGTAAAGTCCGCCATAGGAGAGGGGAAAGCCGAGGGGGAGAGGTGGTTCTCAAGATTGGGCCGATTATGTAAGTCGTTGCTTAGGGGGCTGCAGCTCTCTCCAGCAGAGCCGTTTGGGAGATCAAACCGTGGCCTTTTTGCCATATTCAAATAAGGCAGTGAGCTGAGGTGAGGGTGATGTGGGGGCTGAGGGGCTAGCTGGGGGACATCAAACACTGGCTCCCCAAAGGGATGCATGTTATGGTTGTTCAGTCTATGTATGGGCCGGTCCAGGTGGCCGTGTTGAACTTGGACCATCGGACCACCACCTTGAACGTCCGTATTGTTTGCTACATAGTCCGGAGTGTGATAAAACCGCGGAAGGGCAGGGGAACCGGGGTTCTGCCTGGCAACAGGTCCTGGTCTTTGCTGCGGCATGAGGTGGTGTCTAGCGTTAACCCCCGGATCCATTTTCCCTCGGTTCCCGAATCGGTCCGAAAACACGTTTTGCTGAGGTAGCTGCTGGTCGACTTTAGAGCCACCCATCATGGGCCCTCGGGAACCACTTCGATTACAAGTGGCAAAATGACCCCCGACCACTTGGTTCCCCGTTTCACAATAGGGCAGTTTGTGCTCTGAAGAGTCTGCGGTGGAGAATCCTGTCATATCAAAATTCCCCGTCAGAGGATCACAGGGAAAACAGTGCTCTGATCCCCCCAACCTACCCTGTGGGAAAAGCCTGTAATGTTCAAGTCTGTGGGTTTCAGGGGACGAGGACGGCAGGCCGTGGAACGAAGCGGCGCGGTTTGGTGACTGGTCTAGTGGAAGACACGGCGCTGGAACGGCGTGGTTACCGTTAGGATGGCTGTGCGGTTGAAACTCAGGCATTGTGGCCATTCTCTGTTGCTGCTGCTGCTGAGAAATGCATTCTTGCGACTGCACCTCTGCAAGCTGCTGACTGAATCCTCCTTCGAACATATGCGGGTGACCTGCGTTGCTGTTATTGAAACCCATGTGTCTGTCCCCGTGCAAGCAAGAGGGGACGCTGTCCTGGTACAGATGTGAATGCTGGTCGTGGTTAGGAAGTTGATGGTTGAACGGTGTTTGCATGTGGAGTTGATGTTGTGGCTGAACTCCCATAGCGAGCATATCCCCATGGCCTGGAGTCTGGAATCCATACTGGTCTCTATTTGAGACAAAGTTGAGTCCCTGTATGGGGGATTCATTTAGTGGACCCATCATCGGTTCCACAGCTACCGACGGCCCTTTCATATGAAATCCGGCACTGTTATAATTAGAGTTCATTTTCAGTCCACTGGGATTAAATTCCTTTTGTTAGTTTGTCACTGCAAATAAAAAAGACACAATTAAATCAAACAGTCCTTTTTTTGTGCGTGTTATTTTCTGTCTCCAGGGCCCATGTTAGCAGCCGATTTAAAAATCAAATTATTACATATTTTCAATAATATAATTAATAATTAAAAATAAATAAAGTTTACGTTTTGCATGCATGTGCTTATTGATAAATATTTAATGATGCGAAAGTAAGAGATCAGATGACAATTGGAAGTACCTCAATTCCAACATAAGCGTAAAAACGCGAACTCCTCTTTGTATGTCCTTAGAGCAACGACCCTGAAAAATGCACATCTTTAAAAAACTCCTCGTTTACATCATTATTCGATGCGTAACGTCCCCAAGTCGTTCAACACAAATCCAGAGGAGTGCAAACCAGCGCGCGGAGCACATGTCCCATGTTCACATATCCAATGCAATGCGCGCGCGATCCCGACTAATAATTATTCTATATCAAAAACACTTACATGAATTCAAAAAGAGTAGATAAATGCAATAAATCGACGGTCCTCGGAGGAGAACTTCGCGCGTGCGTTCGGTCCTGTGAGGAGACTCAATGCGCCGCGGTGGGTGCGCGCGCTGTTAGGAACTGGAGAGCCCAGGATCCCTTTTGTTGTCACAGTATGAAATGTATTCAGCGCAAAATTTAATCGCCATTTTCTTTAATACTGTCCATGAGATACGCGCTGTTCCATCAAATGCTTCTGGCTCCAGGAGGGTTTTCTCATTTATCCTTGACTCGGATGTGTCGAGCCGCGGGCATCGGCAACAAGTTTGACATTCCCTCATCTGCTCCAGCGCTGATTTCTCACCAATGCCGACACAGGCACACATGCGCAGGGGGCGGAGGCTCGTGCATCAGGGCGGGGTCTGACGCACAAGGGGCGGGGACTCGCTTAAGGAAGTCTAAAAGAGATATTTATAACGTATTAATACATAATACAATGGATAAACACTAAAACAAGAAAAACACTTCAATGTCTCAATCTTCAATGATACTCTGTTTTACAAATAGAGCTAGACTACTTTTCAATTTGGTGCATTTGCCCCCCACAAGGTATACGACCAATAACACATAGCTAATGAAAAATATTTAAATATATGAAATGAAATAATAAAGACTCTGTACATATAAAACAGTAGATTTATTTATTACACATTTATAATTTGCATATTACCATAAAAACATCCAAGAAATATGCATCAGTGCTCGATGGTATCTAATTATTCTACGTGTACCAAACGTATGTGGTGCACGTAGAATAATTAAACACCATCGAGACCAGATCTCTTATTTACACACAGCTTTACATTTTAAGCAAATATGAAACAAACATAAATCAGTGTAAATCTTCAGTCATTCCCAAAAATCCTCCATATGTGAAACAGCTATATTCCTTTATACGCAGATAGCCTACTGTAATAAATATGCAGCAGTTAATTAGTAAATTAGCAGATGCATGAAACAGGCTTCATTTTCCAGCTGTGACGAATGGCAGGCAGAGATAATGAATGTGTCTTCAGGGTTAATTTCCTGCAAGTAACCGGTGATTGTGATGTATTTTTAGAACTCACTCCTGAAGCATGGGTCAAATTATTTATCTTTACAACAAAAGCTTTTGAATGAACAGTGATTAAGAAAATGTGGAAATAAAACCCTTATACTACAAACTAGACTGTCTTGCAAACCCACTATGGAATGATACGACTATTAGGCTACTGGAAGGTTTTATGGAGAAATAGAAGTGGCCATTTATTGATAGCCATGACTGAAGAAATTAAACTAATAAAAGGATAATAAATGGAAAGCCATAAGACTTATTTTGTAGGTCCCTCTGGTCTTTATGAGAAATCGTTACCTGGCTCTTTAGCAAAGCGGAACAGTGCCATCTAGTGCTGCTGTCAGGAACAAACACTGAGGAAAACTAGGGAGAAATTTACATTAGACATGTTTCTGTGGCCACAAATTATAGACACAGAAATAAAATGAAGCATTTAAGGTCCTAACACCTCTAGACTAATGATTTATTATTACTGCATTAGAATATTTAATCCTACAAATATAAGAATATACATTTACCGTATAGATTTCAATGATTTTCCTGACCTAAACACTTAAATTTAAAAATTACCTGATGCTTCCAGGTTTTCCGTGACTTGCATCTAAAGGTAAGACATTAAAGCATGCAAACCTACAATGAAAATAAAAGACCAAGCATGACTGGCGTCGAAATTTATTAGATATACTGTTAATTGTTCAATTTATAACCGATTCAAAAGCTGCAAGAAAAAAACTGAATCACACCATTGTACATTCACTGATATTTCCCCTGATTTCCAAACAAACAAACAATCAGAAAAAACAGTAAAACAGCATTGTGTAATTCCCCAAGAAAAAAAAACCCCAGTAGATTCTCCAAGTGCGCAGTTATGCTTCGATTACAATATGATTCATTCATTATATCTGAAACCCTTGCCCATCCCAGTCCCCGCTAGCCTAAAAGCCATGTACGTGTACAAAAGTAAACCACACGATCCGTGAGACTGGAGACAATATGTCTGAACAGACGTCAGTGCACTGATTCCTCAATTATGATCTAGAGAACATATGAAAAAATCAAAAATCAAAACCTGACTTCCTCCCATCCGGATCTATGAGAAGAGGAACACAGGTCTTCTTGATTGCCATAAAGGTGCCGCTGAGGCCGAACCTGACGGGTTGCATGATTGCGTGAACATTCGTGGACCTTGAAATGAGAGGGACTTTAAAAAAAACAAAACATGCAAACCAAGAAGAAACGTGTTTGTATGCCACGTTCAGGCTTGAAAACGATCACAAATGTGCGATTCTAACTAGACAATCAGTGTGATAGGATCGCGGTTTCAACGCAGACATCAGGCACTAGTTTGCAAGTGATTGCACAAACTCTGGCCGTCAGCTGTCCATGAAAGCCCGACTATTTAAACTAATGCACTGACCACAATATATGATAAAAATCCCAATCCGTCTGTCGCTCTGGACAGAGAACCGTACACGTTAAAAACCAGTTACTAATAAACGAGGAGATAAAACAGCCCTGCACTGCGGGTCAAGTGCAAACAGCAGACTCTTTTTGCTAGACTGGATGATCTGAGCTGGTGCAGGACGGCCAGAGACGAGGAAGACAGGAAGTAGAATTATTCTACCTGCACATCCTGTGACTCTGACCTGGTAAGATATAGAAACTAAACAAATACCAAGCTCTTTAAAATGCATTTATAAAGTTCTCCTCTTTGTCCTAAGCGTCTGTTGAGGCGTCTACGCACACATTCAGGTGCAGAGCTCCGGGTTCCCACACGTTCTGATCAATCATTTTGCATAGACTGCAATATACACTATATAAATATATGAATTTATACTTTAGGATTTCATTAATGAAATCTTTTGGGGACAGCATGTCGATTGTAGGAATTTCAGGTTGTCCGTTTTTGTCAAGCAAAAAAATGCTGTTACATTAATGCATTTAATAATGCAAGTCTGCAGGGCTGGTCAAAAAAGATTCAAGTACACACTAAAACCATGAGACTTGTGCACTAGAATCTCTTCCTGACTGTGCCTGTGTGACACCGAATTTAAATTTGTTGTCATGACAACCGCAGTCACATTTGCATAATATGCGCAAGGATACCAGACAGTAGTCACTGCTTGCATGTCAGTAAACAAGAGATTCATCTACCTGGAAAAGTAGTTACACCTCAGAAATGACAATTTAGACTTAATATAGATCAAATAATAGCAAGAGAAAAATGACAAGAATCATCACACTTCAGCTTTTAAACGTCAACGCGGTTTATGTGCATTGTAACTGCATTATTGAAATGGCGATTTTTGCTTTTTAAAAAGACTGACACTATTTATTTTAATTTTATTATAATTTACTTATGGAAATTATTTTCTGTAGGTATACTTGTAATGAACCGAGACTTTTCCAGGCCTGGAAATCACAATTTTTCCCTGATATCTCCAGGATTTTCCAAGACCGTGGGAACCCTGAGAGCATTACAGGTAGATTAGCGATATAAAAGCACTTTGCCTGTCCTAAAGCAACTCTAAAAGTAAGAAAAAGCAGCAGCGGCGGCGATTTGCTCCAGTAACTAGCTTGGATTTTGGTGAGAAGAGGAGGAGTCCTGAGGGGTTACGTCACGCAAAGTGTCTTGAGAACATGAAGACCCTCTCAAAAACAGCCGCTAAAATGCCTGAGCTCATGCAAAAGCCACTCGTGGAAAAGGTTTTGCGAGGTGGACGTGTATTTTTGCACAAATGTGCATGCCGTGCAGTAGCATCACACATTTAACCTAGAAAAACAAGACATGGTAGGCAGGACTACGCTCATACGAAATGAAAATCTACTAATTAAAAACATGATTAGGAATTTAAAAGAACCAAAAGAAGTGCTTCATCTGGGGGGGGGAAGACTAAACACAGACAAGAAAATAAAGATCTGAACCATTACAAACAGATAAAACCAAACAAAAACACAAAGAATTGGTCCAATGCCTGCCGAAATTAAGTCGTTTTGTTTCTGAAATAGAATAACACAACCATACAGCAATACTCAGGTATTTCTAACAAAGTGGTAATAGTCACTGGATCAACCTGGCTGAATCTAAAAACAGGTTGACCGTGAAAATGTCCACCCTGTCGGCAGGTGTGTGAGTACAGTACTACTGATCACTGTTGTCATTCTGCAGTCTGGTGGAGGAGGACGGCACCACCACTGGCCGGTTTGGTTGGATGCGGTGATGTCTTTCGTCAAGTGTCGTCGTGGTTGGATTCTTGAAGTTTAGCCCTATTGCTCGTGAGCAGCACTGGTGCCTCGAACCTGACCAGTTTTACGAAGCTACGAGAATGGGAGAATAAAACGGTGACCGTTAATAAAACAGAAAAAACACTATTCATGCAGCTTTTTCAATGCATGTTTGAAGCCAGACGATTCATTCCACCCTTTTGTCCTAACCAGGTATGAAATTATGACGTGGCCTATCTCTACGATGCTCATTTAAGTTTTAGTGCATTTAGTTGGCTTTTCCACAACATTCTAATTTATTGAGATGCCCCTGTATATATATTCAATGTAAGTATTGTTAATTGTTTGATCATATTTACTAGTGTAGCTAAGTAACATTAACAAATGAAACATTATTGTAAATTGCTACCAAATTGTTGCCTTTGCAACTAACTGAAATCAAATAAGTACTAAATTATTAGTATTTAAAATAAGTATTAATAAAACTAAGACTGAAATAAAAATAAGCTAAATAAATATTTGGCATAAAAATGCCAAAAGCAAATAAAATGACTAAAACTTAAAAAAAAAAAACTTAATAAACAAATAAACTAAAAATAGAATCTAATTCAAAATAATATAACAATATATAAATAACACTAAAATAACTAATGCTTTAACTAAGGGTATTACATTTTTTGGCACATTTCTAGGTGGTTTCTTACTGACTCGAGTCAAAAAAGTGCACCCTCCTTGCATCTCTAGATAGTTTGTCAGTTTTTCTTTTTAAATTGTATTATCATCTACAAGGTGAAAATTGTAAGTCTGATCACTTAGAAACAAGATGCATGATTCGATGAATTATTCACTGATTATTCACAGATTCATTCATCTGTAGCACAAACAATGTGTGGTGATTTACATACAAAACTTTAATATGTAGGATAAGGGTTTGTTTGAATCAATAACACCAAGTATGACTAACAGTAATAGTGCCTTAGCAAACACTACTAATTAGTTCTGATCTGCTGTGATTGTCACATCACTGCAGCATTATGTTTTCATCATGCCTGGTTAGGACGCCGTGTGAATTCAAGACACTGCAGGCGGGTTTTTTTACACTCACACGTGTACAAACGCACACTCAAATCAAAGAGAGCAGAAACACATGCTCACATGCGCCGAGTACAAACACACTCTGGAAAAATCAACAAGCACAAAAAAACGGTGATTAGAAACCAAGAACACAGTGCAGAGAAGCAGCAATGGGGCGATGAGGAGAAATGAGAAATGAAGGAGAGAAAAGAGCGGATTGGGCAGAGACGCTTGGAAAGAGCGGCCGAGGAGAATTTCATCTCTTCCAGATCGTTTTACAGCAGAGCCAAACGCAGAGGGAGGGAGAATAACACAAATATGAAGCGGCTGTGCGCCGTTCTGACTCTCAACAGACGCTGAATCTCTCTTGAGAAGAAAGTCTATAAAATGAACTTCATAACTGACTTACAGAGATGCTGCAAAATCAACATAAGATTCGAGAAACTCTGAAAGATGAAAACCACATGACCAATGTGAAAATAAAGGTATATTTCACTCAGAAATTAAAGTTTTGTCATCCTTTGTTATTCCAAACCTGCACGAGTTTCTTTCTCCTGTTTTACACCAAAGAAAGGTTCAGCAGAACGTTCAGGATGCTCGTTTGAAAGTATATAATGGCTGTCGAACTCTCAAAAAGCTCTATAATAGTAGTCCAACAATATACATTGTCCAACAGTAGTACAACTTGTGCAAAATATTACAAGTCATATAAAGTCAAATTATACTTTTTATGTGATGAAAAAACTTAAAATTTCCTTCCACAGTGGCTGTCAAATCTCCTTTGCACTTCCATGTTTGAATATGCAAATATAAATTTAAATAACTACATAAACAAACAATATTTATTAACTCTAAAAAAAAAACGGCTCTTAATTAAATTTGATTCAACCATGAAAAATAAAATAAAAATTAGATTTTGGTCACACAAAGCTATCTTATGGTTTCAGAAGACTTAAAATACAGAACATAAATCATATAACTATTTTTATGATGCGATTTCAGAAAGAGCGGCCGAGGAGAATTTCATCTCTTCCAGATCGTTTTACAGCAGAGCCAAACGCAGAGGGAGGGAGAATAACACAAATATGAAGCGGCTGTGCGCCGTTCTGACTCTCAACAGACGCTGAATCTCTCTTGAGAAGAAAGTCTATAAAATGAACTTCATAACTGACTTACAGAGATGCTGCAAAATCAACATAAGATTCGAGAAACTCTGAAAGATGAAAACCACATGACCAATGTGAAAATAAAGGTATATTTCACTCAGAAATTAAAGTTTTGTCATCCTTTGTTATTCCAAACCTGCACGAGTTTCTTTCTCCTGTTTTACACCAAAGAAAGGTTCAGCAGAACGTTCAGGATGCTCGTTTGAAAGTATATAATGGCTGTCGAACTCTCAAAAAGCTCTATAATAGTAGTCCAACAATATACATTGTCCAACAGTAGTACAACTTGTGCAAAATATTACAAGTCATATAAAGTCAAATTATACTTTTTATGTGATGAAAAAAATTAAAATTTCCTTCCACAGTGGCTGTCAAATCTCCTTTGCACTTCCATGTTTGAATATGCAAATATAAATTTAAATAACTACATAAACAAACAATATTTATTAACTCTAAAAAAAAAAACGGCTCTTAATTAAATTTGATTCAACCATGAAAAATAAAATAAAAATTAGATTTTGGTCACACAAAGCTATCTTATGGTTTCAGAAGACTTAAAATACAGAACATAAATCATATAACTATTTTTATGATGCGATTTCACAGCTTGATATCCTATGGCCACTGTATGCTTCAACTGTATGAAAAACAAGTGTGGAGATTCTTCAAAAACATCTCCATGGAAGAAAGTCAGTCATACGGGTCTGGAGCAATTTTATTTTTGTATGCACTAACCCTTCAGGACAAGAACAGCGGAAAAGAAAAAGATGGCCATTGCAGCTGTTCCTGTAAACATCGCAACCTGCCTCCATTTAGATAGAAGATCAACAACTCGACACAAGAACACTGCTTTTGGAAGCTACAGGCATTGGCCCCCACACTTACTTTAAACATCAAGAACACCTAAAAAAAACTCTTTTACCTTTCAACTGGAGTCTAAAACCATTAGAACGTGCAGATGAGGCTTTTTCAAGGAACTGCAAACACCTGCTTTCAATTTGTGCCGTTGAGGCACTATTTTCCTCTGGCCTGAGCGAACGCATTTGGGTGGTACAGCCAAGAGTTTGTCTGAAATGACTAACACTTTAACTCGGGTTACATTTCTCCACACGTCAGCTGAGAGGAGAACACCAGAAGAAAAGTTAGTTGTGGTTAGCTGAAATGGAGGCAGTGAAGAGATGGGTTAGTGGGTGGTGGCGGCGGATGAAAAGAACGTGAGAAAGAATGCACGACGGAGCGGCCGCCTCTCCTCCCGCATGACTTACAGAGTCTCTTCACCTGCCTTGTGTTACTAAAAAGGATTCGGCTACTCTTCGGCTGCCGTCGTGCCTCGTACAGACCCTTTTTGACGCATCTAGAAACAAAACATGCCATTAGGTGCTATCTTACCACTTGCTGACCACCAGCTAGAAAGAAAATGTTATGAAACAACAATGTAGCCAATAACAGAACATGAAGAGCATATTTGAGTGAATCTCCGGTAGAAATGTCCATTTTTTTTTAATACGATTCAACGTACCTAGGCAAGGCAAGCTAAGCTTATTTATATAGCACATTTCATACACAATGGTAATTCAAAGTTCTTTACATAAAAAGGAATTAAAATAATCACAAAATGACCACAACATATGCAAAAGAAATAAAATAATCAAAAATTATTTATAAATAAAAATGAATTGAAAATGTATTTAAACAGTAAAAAAAAAATGAATTAAACGGAATAAAAAAATGAGCATACATTTATGTGTGTGTGTGTGTGTGTGTGTGTACATATATATATATATATATCAGTGGTGTGCGGTGGTGTTCTGAAATTTTATTTTGAATCAAATTTAAATTCTATTTATTAAAACCAAGAAGTAATCTAATCAAGTTAGCGTTTTTATGCAAATAAAAAAATGAGCATACATTTATGTGTGTGTGTGTGTGTGTGTACATATATATATAAATATATCAGTGGTGTGCGGTGGTGTTCTGAAATTTTATTTTGAATCAAATTTAAATTCTATTTATTAAAACCAAGAAGTAATCTAATCAAGTTAGCATTTTTATGCATTTTACATTTATTCCTAATAACTCAAGGCAGTAACTATTTAAACAATATATTTTATTTGTGAACTTATGTTGAGCTATTCTTTTTAATAGTTAACTTTTAACTACTTTTAAATTATTCGGTTCATCAGTCATCAAAGCTCGGTGAATAGCCTATTGGTCACAGACACAGATTTACTTTAAATTTCACCATGCTGATTACTCACTAAAAACTCCCACAGATCATATTTTCAGGCCTTATTATCATAAGTCTTATTGTGATATAACAAAGTGGTTATATCTAAGTGTGTGAGTTGTTTACTTTATTAAATTAGTCTTCCCATTAACCCCATTATATTGTTCATTCAGATTCGCAAACGCACACGAACACAAGAAGCGGGATTTATCACATGAACCAATCACAGCCGAACATAACCAGTCATATCCAATCATATCACATGTGACTTTCCCCCATTCATTCTCAATTACCCCCCACCAAACTCACCGCACGCATTAGGGGGTCTGTTAAAACTCAATGGGCTCAAGGGAGGCGAGAGAGACGCGGACTCCTGCTGTAACTTTACCAGCTGGTTTCGCTGTTCGACAATGTTTCTTTAGAAAAACTAGTGATTTATACACATTTTAATGTTATATTTTGTAATATTGGCATTGTTTTATTTTTGCACTATACGAATTCTTTTCTCATCTAATATTTTGAGAAGATACTGCCTCTCTTATATGGGGTGCTGTGTGTACATTAATGAGGAAAAAAAATTAACTTAAATGATTTTAGCAAATGGCTGCAATATAACAAAGAGTGAAAAATTTAAGGGGGTCTGAATACTTTCCGTACCCACTGTATATAGCTGGGATTCGAGAAAGACATTTTCATAACGCAACATCTTAAAATTTTTAAGTTCACTACTGCAATACAATTTTTTTTTAAAAAGAATGAAAAATAAATATATTAAAAATGTTTTTTTATTTATTAAATTATTTTTTAATTTATGTAATAAAGTAATAATCTATTTAATTATCATTTAATTACATTTATTAAAATATACTTAAAAAGAATTATATTAAAATTGCAATTAACTAATTTAAAAACACTTAATTTCAGTACAACCTTGATATGGACTATTGTACCTTACTGAAAAATGTTAGATTATTTCTTCACATTACAAGCTATTGATTATTGGGGAACGCCATATACTTGCATTTTCGGAAAACAAACAAAAAAATATATATATATTAATGGTACAAAAAACAGGCTTTATTTTCTTTATTTCAGGGAGAAATATGATGTATTCATGACTCTTTTCACCCATTTAACACCTAACTTTCAGCAGAGAGGCACTGAATGGGTTAACGTTGACATAATCCTCACTGGAAACATATTCACCATAATTTCCATAAAAGAGGTTTTGAAAAAATATACCCTGGAAGATTTCTGTAAAGCACGGCAAAGCCAAAGTAAACTTAATTCGTCAAATATTAGTCCAAATACATATTTTCTGCTTGGCAACTGGATAGTAGCGGTGTAAAAAAATGTTTGTTTAATATAAAGTTTTACTACATATACTGTTTGTTTTATTAATGCCAGCCTTTACAACTGAAAGCAATTACAGATGAACTGGTCAGGAGAAAGATATAACTCGTAACATTGATGGGTTGACAGTTAAGGAATCACTTTATTGGTCTTGGCTAACCGTCGCTTAAGTATAAAACTAATAAGCGCCTACGCCTTCGGGATTTGGATGAGAATGTACTGATCAATATTTCCCAGGCAGTGAGGAGTTTGTAGTTTTCTTTGGCTGCATGCTGAAAGCGATCACATAGCGTGTCAGAGTTTGGAGAGACTGGATCGTCATATTTACTGGGTAGAGGAAAGAATCTGGGCCAAATACTATACACTTGAGCTGGGACGTGTTCAACAAAAACACACAACTGAAAATAGAGAATATGAGCGTGCTGCCAACGGTGACCAGCGGGAAAAAACCCAATATAGCTCAAATCTATAACCCCTTCAATAACGTCCAGAAGCTGAATTAAATTCAGTGACTACTGACGTCTGCAGTCTAATAAGGACCCCTGGTGCTAATATCACAGGTACTAACATTTTATTCCACATATAAACGCCCACATCATGCTGTAAAATCTGTTCAGATGTGCACTGTAGGCTGATGATGTACAGATTGTACATGTATATTATGAATACAGTGTTTCTCAATAGCTCACTGACCCGCTGCTATTTTATATTTTAACTGTAGTCTAAATTTAATGACAAGAGACTAAATAAAACTAAAGCTCTCTTTATGATTTCTTTAACACAACTTTCTTTTGCCTTGTGCTTAGTTGCACACAACAGCAATTGCATTCAATTGATTCTCATTTTCAAATGGAAATGAATAATTCAAACTATTTTAGTCTGAATCATTTGGACATTTAGCTATCTTTATATAGAATAGACTTAATCCAGGGTTATTACCATTATCTAAACTATATATACATATATTATTTCAGCAACATTTCTCATTTTCTTTTAGTTTATCTTGAAGTACTAAAATACCTAAACATTAAATAATTTTAAAAATAATTTAAATTAATTATAAAATAAAAAACTATACAGACATATTCAAAAATGAGTAACACAAAATTACTAAAATCTTAACAAAAATGAAAGTTAAAACAGAAATTATAAAAATAAAGTTGAATTCAAAATATTATAAAAAACTATAATTGTATATCAATGATACTAAAACAACACTGTCAGGAACTAAAATCGAATCCATAATTGAATTAAAATGAGTCCGAATCATTTGGGCAACTCACTTGCTAAATCAGTTGGAATGACAATGACAAATAACATTCGCTCACTGAACCTAATGCAATTTACAGTAAGTCATTATTTTCAAAATGAGTTGTAATTTTATTTAATTGCAATTTTAAACTAGTTTGAGCAGTTTTTGACACTTAATTCAGCCTAGTTATTTTAAAAAAATGATAGAAATTCTACTAAAGGCGCAGAAATTATACCTTTGACCTTTAAAAACCATACATGAATGGACCAACAAAAAAAAACAGTGGAAAGAACAGCGTTTCATGATTTGTACTGCTGGGAATAAGGAGGTCTGCCAAGGATGTGTGGGAACAAATGCAATTGAGGAAAATATACATGCTTCAGACCATAATTCTGTGCAAATGTCATTCTCACCTCCTCCAGCTCTCGCTGCGTCTCCTCCTCCATCCTGCGGATGTCCTCCATGGTGAGCTCCACCCAGCTGTCAATCCAACAGAAGAGCTGACGGTGGAAGTTGGTGAAGATTCTCTTCTCTTGCTGCAAATGCAGATGAAAAACAGTCTGTTACTGTAAAATAAATAATATCTCAAAACTCATTCAAATTTGAGAGGCATCATTTGAGCTTTGATGTCAAGGAAAAGACATAAGAAATGTTTTATATCACTAATATCACAACCGGCACAACACACCTTGAGATTGTAAATATAATATGATATAATATGCACAAGTTGTTTGGACCACTTTATGGAACTTTTTTTTTTGTTTGTAATTTTTGGAGTATGACAGCATCACATGGGTGTGAAAAAGAGCACTTTGGACTAGAGATGCGCCGATTGCCTGGCCAGCTGATTTTCCGCATGATCGGCCCGGACCGGTGACAGGTCAGTCTCACAATCTTTCCGATTCCAAGCCGGTCTATTTTGACGTCACAGCCATGCTCACATATGTAAATAAACATGTCGTCTGCGTGCAATTTCTTCACTGTGAGTGAAGACACAATTCGCCATTTGTAATATATGTGTGGGGCCAAAGTAAACCACAGGGAAACCACCACAGGGCTCGGTTTATGCTTGTACGGGACAAGCAGTTTTTTTAAAGGGGCAAGTGAGAGAGAATTTTACTTGTCCCACTAGACAACTAAACATCAATAACAAAAATAACCGGGGAAGCAGTGAAAGTTGGCCACCAAAAACTGATTCTGAATTTACACAAAGCACACACAAAGTAACTCATAGAAAATTATAGATGCAAACTGCGGTAGAAAAACAATGATATTTATTAGGGGTGCTCCGATCAGGATTTTTGAGGCTGATCACCGATCGCAGAAAGCAGTATCTGCCGATACGATCACCGATATTGATCTTTTTAAAGCCTTATTTTTATCATGTAGAATTATTTTAAATGATTATTTTTATTATTGTTTTGCAGACATGAATTAGAATTATTTTATTCTCCAATCAGGAATTTAAGACATTTATTCAGGGCCTGAATTTAATTTTTGAAAATGGGGGGAATTTCCCTCTTATAGGTGACTCTTGTGAGAGGGGATTTTTTTTTTTACTTTAAAGGGTGGAAGGGAGCATTCTTTAGACATTTTTTAAAAATATATATTTATCTCACCTAAACGTTCGATCTGGAAGTGCATTTTTGTTTTTACACTCATGCAATTGTTGCAGAATAGCTTACACACAGCACAAAAAAGTTGCTCAAGCAAGTGGCAAAACATTTAAAATACCTTTCTTACGTTATCACAAACATTCTAAATTAAAACTTGCCACTGACCGAAATAGTCAGCTCTACTGCTTTTCCTTTTGCTTTTAAATCTTTATTACAAGCAATCCTGCGCTTCATAAAGAACTTTGTTTGCCTACCTCCACGAGTGCCATCTATTATTGCCTTGTTTATCTAAAAGTGCTTTTCCTTTAAAGCTAGCCAACAAGCCATATGTGTTGACTGTGAAACACAGTAGACTTTAATTATATGCATTTATGGTGTAATTACTACATTTTGGTTTTCATATTTACCGCAAACAATGCGCTGTTACTTTAATTCAGCGCTTGCAGTGAAGCAAAAATAGACTCGGTGCGGAAACGATCTCTGCACTGCTGCAGACGCACCGCTCCTGAACGCACTGCCGTACCGCAACCGTGTGCAGTGGGAAAGCTTGAATCTGTTACCATGAGCGCAGATAAATAAGCACAGCATAAGCACAGCATACGCACTGCAAACGGAGTAATGTGAACCTGTCGTTATGTGTGCGCGCTGCGAGTGGGCATGAGCGCACGGTCTCCAGGAGAGCGCGCGAGCGCTGAATTGTTTAAACACTGGCAAGTATTAAAAAGTAATGCAATTTATAAACTTTAGTGACGATGCAACACTGCCTTGATTGTGCAAGTGACAATTCCTGTGTCAACTGTGCAGCGTGCAGCTCGCTTATAGACAGAGGCGATGTGTGGTGATTTGAAGCCATTTGCGCATTTTGAGAGAGAAAGAGAGAGCGCGGTGATTCACTCATGATGTTTGTGAAATTATGTCCCACAGAAGGTTTTCAAATAACTTTAAGAGTTATTTAATGAAGAAATATGAATTGCACCTCACCTTCAGCATATTTATTTCACCCGTGCCAGACAGAGACTGAGACGGTGCCGCTGCATGTCGTGTAAAACCTCTGATGGCAGATGCGTCATCAGATTGCGATCGTTTTTTTGAGATCGGCCTTTTTAGAGACCGCCGATCAATCATCCCAAAGTGATTATCGGCCGATAGTGATCGTAGCCGATCAATCGGAGCACCCCTAATATTTATAATATATGATATAGATAAGCAATGGACCTTTTTCACAATTCCGGGTTTCTCAGCAGCGGAAGTCGTCATAGTTGGGTAAACTTGAATAGCAGTGAATGGGAGAGTACCACAAATATATTTTGTGCATTCCCAGCTGCTCAAATAGCAAAAGAAAAACTCCACGATAGTGTTTTCATGACTTTCAATAAAAGGAAAAAAATTGAGAGAGACTGATAACACCCTCGCATTAGCATTAACAGTTTTTTTGTAATTTGCCGCAAAGGTGATATAATACAAAGAATAGAGTTATAAATGTAGACACATTTAAAAAAAAATACAAATATGAAAAACTTTCGAGGATTTACGATGCTGATGACCATTAAACGCGTCATCAGTCTTGTGAAAAGGGTCCATAGGGGTGTAACGATATTCAAACCAAACCGAAAAAACGTGATACACCACCCACAGAACATACCCAGCCATGATGGTTTTAAATAGCTTGAATCCCTCTGAAAAGGAGGGTACCATTAAGGGCAACATGTGCAGAACAAATCTGTCATATAGGCTACATAAAATTATAAAGAGAACATGACTCTAAAAGAATATGCCATGTTTCGGTGCGTTGTTATGGAAAGAATGCGTCCACAGAGTTATATTTTCATGACTAGCACAGTCAAGTTCACTTGTGTATATATATATATATATTTATATATATAATTTATCTCATTTAAGATGCATTTGGTCTAGTTACGCTGCAGTAAAGTGCTTCATTGTAGGCCTACTACAGCACGCAGCGCAAACAACAATGCAGAATATTAATAATAATGACTGAGACGGTCATATACTCCACAGAGTTATATTTTCATGACTAGCACAGTCAAGTTCACTTGTGTATATATATATATTTATATATATAATTTATCTCATTTAAGATGCATTTGGTCTAGTTACGCTGCAGTAAAGTGCTTCATTGTAGGCCTACTACAGCACGCAGCGCAAACAACAATGCAGAATATTAATAATAATGACTGAGACGGTCATATAAGTGTTGTGAAACAGTTTTTTCCCCCTTCCTGTTTTTTTAATTGTTTGCATATTTGTCACACTTAAAAGATTCAGATCATCAAACTCATTTTAATATTACACAAAGATAACCTGAGTAAATAGAAAACTGCAGTTTTGAGATTATGATTTCACTTATTAAGGGAAAAAAGCTGTCCAAACCTACCTGGCACTACGTGAAAAAGTAATTGCCCCCTAAATCTAATAACTGGTTGTGCCACCCTTTGCAGCAACAACTGCAATCAAGCGTTTGCGATAAATGGCAATGAGTCTTTCACAGGAATTTTGGCCCACTCTTCTTTGCAGAATTGTTTTCATTCAGCCACATTGGGAGGGTTTTTGAGCATGAATGGACTGTTTAAGGTCATGCCACAGCTTCTCAATCGGATTTAAGTCTGGACTTTGACTTGGCCACTCCAAAACCTTAATTTTGTTTTTCTTGAGCCATTCAAAGGTGGACTTGCTGGTGTGTTTTGGATCATTGTCCTGCTGCATAAACCAAGTGCGCTTGAGCTTGAGGTCACAAACTGACGGCCGGACATTCTCCTTAAGGATTTTCTGAGAGAGCAGAATTCATGGTTCCATCAATTATGGCAAGTCATCCAGGTCCTGAAGCTGCAAAGCAGCCTCAGACCATCACACTACCACCACCATGTTTGAGTCTTGGTTAATCAGGCCTGCGTGTGGCTAGTCAAATTTAACTCCGCTTTCTAAAATGATGTGGTTAATCACAGGGGCAAATATTTTTTCACGTAGGGCCAGGCAGGTTTGTTCAGCTTTTTTCCCTTAATAAATGAAATTATCATTTAAAAACTGCATTTTGTATTTACTTGCATTATCTTTGCGTAATATTAAAATTGGTTTGATGATCTGAATCTTTTAAGTGTGACAAATATGCAAAAAATTAAAAAAACAGGAAGGGGGCAAAAACCTTTTCACGGCCCTGTACATAACATTATAATGAGAACACTATTACAATTAAACGCTGTGTATTTTTAGAGTATAGTTGTCGTGTTTCGCTGCAGGATAGCAGGCATTGTGCGTAATTCTACACATTCCCGCAGGTTTCACAATTATAAAGCAGGAAATTCTCACAAACATTTATGCACTGCAGCATGTAGGTTGAATCCAGGTTAGACATTTAAAAATGTTCTGTGCAACGGAATTTCACAAACAGTGTGAATGACTGGGACTGAGTGGTACCGCGTCTTTTCTCACTCTCTCAAAATGCACAAATGGCCTCACATCCATAATATCCACGTTGAGTTTGCTCTGCAAGCGGGGCTATTTTAACCCATAAAGCACTCGCGCATTCTGAGAGATGGTCTTCAATGCGCTTCAAATGTGATGTTTATCATTTTATAAGATTTTTCATTTTGTGAATCATGTAATTTTACAGTTTAATATGACACCATACACATTGCCCTACCCTGCTCATATGGCATTAATTTTATTTGTGTAGGTCTTAAAAAAGGTAATAAAAAGCCTTAAATTTCTTTGATATTTGCTGATATTTGTGTTTTAAAAATGTTTTTGATTGATGTTTCAACTCCTATCCAGTTTTCTGTAAGAGAGAAAAAAATAAAAAAGGTATATTTTTTTATATTCTGGCTAGTTAAATGAATCTCTGGCTACTAAAATTTGAAGAGTGCCTGCCCAAAGGGCTACCAAGGATTTTGAAATTTTGCAAGCCCTGAAAATAATTCCAATCAAAGCCACAGCAGAACTGTTGTGTGTCTCAGAGCAACCCAGCAGTGTTTTGTAACTGAATGAATCCACATTTTTGAACGAATCCAGTGAGTCAATGATTCAATGACCCATTCATAACAACAGTGAGTCAACATGCCTTTTTCTGAATGAATCAGTCATTTGAAAGAATCGGTTGAATGACTCAATCATTAAAGCTTCATTAGCTGCCATCTACTGGTGGTTTGGTTTCATATTTAAAAGTATCATTGCATTTTCCCCAACATTTCTTATTTGTATGTTCAAAAAAGATTTAAAACAATCTTATAACATTATTTGTGCATTTGCAATTTTGTGGTGTAAATGCATTTATGGCACCTTTCAGCTTCATTAAACAGTCTGTGTAAATACATCTAATGCCACTTCAGATGCTGCTTCTGTGTTTCCTCTGCAGTAGAAAGATGGAGTTTGTTAACACTGATTTCATTTGAATGTTAACAACTCTACAGTGTCTTATTATTCTAACTGAATTATTTGATACAATGTAAGAATGTGATATGAAAGATGACAAATACATTTAATAAAGCTAGGAAAAATCGTCATCTGTTTTGTTATACACAGCAACTCATTTTCAGTTAATTATTTCTACCTCTTTACAGTCACAGAGCACTATATTTTGAGAGATATGTGAGGAAAAAATCCTGTAAAAGTGCAGTTTGAGGGAAATTGTCATGTTTATTAATTTATTTTATTATGAAAATAAAATTTTGCATTGAAAAAAATCGATTTTTGTATGTATATGCTGTCAATTACAGTTCTTAGAAGGAAAATTAGAATCAGCAAAAAATGGTATTGGCAGGTCACACTTACAAAAAACATCGTAAATCAGAATCGGTCAAGAAAATTGCAATTGGTGCATCTCTACTTTGGACAGCTAAATATCTCTTTTTGTGCCCTATATGTTTAGAAAACCATGAGAGTGAATAAACGATAAAGTGCTAGCTTGAATGGGCATTGTTTCTTACCTTGTGGATGAAGTTTTCTATTTTGGTTTGAAGGCCCCACCACTTGAACTTGACGGTGACTAGTTTGTACGCACACATACGAGGGGTGTCCGTCTTAGCCAAGAGCTCTTTCTGTTTGGGGAGAAACCACACATTGTCTTTATACAGAACTGAATTAATTGGGAGTAAAACATCTCTGATAAATTAATTAAATAGAGCCACTCACCTTCCAGTCTGGTCCTAAAGGTCCCCGGCCAGTTTTCTCTGAGTGAAAGATTGCTGGGTCCTCTTCCTGTTTATAGTCCTGAGAGAACGACAAATTTGGTCACTTTTATTTCCTTTATGGTTAATATTTCTCCACACTGCCTTGGTTTAGTCAGCATAGATGTAATTTCAGAGTATAAACTATGAATCAATGAAAAAAAATTTTTTCACACAATTTTTTAAAAATGTATTACCAACTATCAGGAACAAAAAAAGCAAAAACAGTCCATTTTGATTTCATGCTATCGCTGTTGTCAACTACTTTTAATGGAAAGTAGCTAAAGCCTGCTTAAACAGTTGCTTAAATGTCACTAGATGATGCCATGCATTAATTAACATTCATGAAATCACCATACCATAGTTGTATTATTTTTCATTTTAACCCTTTACATATGACAAAATCACCATACACTATTCAGCTTTGCCATCACAGCATTATTTAAAAAAAATATTCAAATAGAAAATTGTATTTATATAGTAATAATATTTCACAATATTATTGTTTTTACTGTATTTTTATTATTCAAATAAACACAGCCTTGGGTAGGAGAAGTGACTTCTTTCAAAAACATAAAATGTTAATGTAATTATTCCAAACTTTTGACCAGTAGTGTGCATGTAAAATTACCCCTTAAGAGTGGTTTGAAGGCCCCACCACTTGAACTTGACGGTGACTAGTTTGTATGCACACATACGAGGGGTGTCCGTCTTAGCCAAGAGCTCTTTCTGTTTGGGGAGAAACCACACATTGTCTTTATACAGAACTGAATTAATTGGGAGTAAAAAAATCTCTGATAAATTAATTAAATAGAGCCACTCACCTTCCAGTCTGGTCCTAAAGGTCCCCGGCCAGTTTTCTCTGAGTGAAAGATTGCTGGGTCCTCTTCCTGTTTATAGTCCTGAGAGAACGACAAATTGGGTCACTTTTATTTCCTTTATGGTTAATATTTCTCCACACTGCCTTGGTTTAGTCAGCATAGATGTAATTTCAGAGTATAAACTATGAATCAATGAAAAACATTTTTTTCACACATGTTTTAAAAATGTATTACCAACTATCAGGAACAAAAAAAGCAAAAACAGTCCATTTTGATTTCATGCTATCGCTGTTGTCAACTACTTTTAATGGAAAGTAGCTAAAGCCTGCTTAAACAGTTGCTTAAATGTCACTAGATGATGCCATGCATTAATTAACATATTCATGAAATCACCATACCATAGTTGTATTATTTTTCATTTTAACCCTTTACATATGACAAAATCACCATACACTATTCAGCTTTGCCATCACAGAAATAAATTTTTTAAAAATATTCAAATAGAAAATTGTATTTATATAGTAATAATATTTCACAATATTATTGTTTTTACTGTATTTTTATTATTCAAATAAACACAGCCTTGCGTAGGAGAAGTGACTTCTTTCAAAAACATAAAATGTTAATGCAATTATTCCAAACTTTTGACCAGTAGTGCGCATGTAAAATGACCCCTTAAGAGTTGATAGATTTGCAGTTAAGGTGGTTCCCCCCCCCCCTTTTTTTAATAAGTGCAAAATGATCACTCAAGAGTCGCTACATTTGTAGTTAGGTTAAAAATTAAATAAAAATCGATTTGGGAATTCCCACCATTTCCATCTTTTTCCCACCTCACACTAGTGCAGACACTCGCATGCTACCTTTTAATCTCTCAAACCTCGGCACTGACTACTGTGAACATATGGGAATAAGGATTAACCTGAACCAGGACTAATCCACTTAACTAATTAAAGATATGAAGCATAAAAGCACTGAGGTCTGAGAAGAGCAGTCACTTCAGCGCCCCTCCACAGTGAGCGGGTCAGCATGAGATGAAGAGGAGAAGATAACCAACACACTCCTGCTAGTCAGCACACAACGACGCTAGACTCCAGTCAAACGGACGCAGCTGTATTTATGCATTCGGCACCGTGCCAGAATGAGGTCACATAGAAACACATTTGGATTTATTCAAAGCAGCTGATGTTTGACGCGGTGTACGTGTCTGCTAGTACACGGCACCGGCAGCTAGTTTCTTTGATCTTGAAGCTTGAGATTTTAGCAGCGATGTCTACAGCTTCAAACAGACCAGATTGATCAGTAAATTTAGCCGCTTACAGCAGGATTAGGTCTCCCCGTAGAAGATAAACCTTCTTGATAAACTAGTGAACCTCGAGTAATGCAGGTTAGAAGGGCAATGGTCCACGCGCTCTAAAATCACGTCACCCTAATCCAGTCTTACATAACACGCCGGCTAAAAGCTGAATCACAAGTCACACACTAGCCAGCCTAAACAGCATGCGGGATAAGGATTAGCATGTCCCAAATCACTGCACACTGGAAACAGTGTGCTAAAAGTGATGTTTCTGGTGGATTTTTAATGTGCATGTTTTTAGGCTAATATTGCTTTAAATTTTTGTGCTACAGGAGGAGGAATTTGTGATATTGTGATTTGTTTGTAAGAACCTAATCAATACTGTAATTATTTGGATACGCTAAATCTTACAAGCAAACAAACAGTACACAACAAAGCTGTTTGTTTTATCAAGACAATTTTATGACATGATAATATGTCTAAATAGTGCCGTACTGTCTTGCTACAAAGTAAAATGTTGTATCAAATGTTTGGGGTCAGCAAGATTTTTATGTTTTTGAGTTTCTTTTGCTCACCAAGGCTGCATTTTTTTTGAAAATGAGTACAAATTTTACAATTGTGAAACATTACTACTATTTAAAATAACTGCTTTCTATCTGAATATATGTTAAAATGTAATTTATTCCTGTGATGAAAGCTGAATTATCAGCATCATTACTCCAGTCTTCAGTGTCACATGATCCTTCAGAAACCTTCTAATATGATGACTTTCTGCTCAAGAAACATTTCTGATTATTATCAATGTTGAAAACAGTTGTGCTGCTTCATACTTTTTCAAAACTGTGATACAGTTTATTTTTCAGCATTATTTGACAAAAAGCTCAAAAGAGCTCAGCATTTATTTGAAATAGAAATCTACTGTACCATAAATGTCTTTACTGTCACTTCAATTGACAATGCATACTTAATCTCTTTCAAAAACAACGAAAATCATACTGACCTCAAAATTTTTGTGCGGAGAATATTACATAAAACACCATATTAAACTAAGTGGATAAATCAGATTTTGCAAGTTTAAGATCTGCATCAGCCGATAAGCATTTATGCATGAGCGATTAACAGAAGCACAAAGGTTGAACATTAAAGAGCCTCAAATAATTCCAATGGACTCATTTAGTCATTTTGCAGATGATTTTTATCCAAAAGGGCCTTACAAATGAGGAACATCACATGCCACTAGCCTAAACCATAACCTCTAATGCAAAAAAAGCTTAAAACATATGCAGCTGAGGGTGGGGCTATGCAAATTAGTTGCAACTGGTTGGATATCATTAGCCCAGTTTTGAGTGCCAGCTGACCACAGGATGACCAGCAGGGATGGACTATGAGCTTTATATTCAAAGTGGGTATTGCTACTAAAAGGCACAAAGAATGTGTGCAAATAAGATCAGAGCATTTCTAGACTGATGTAAAGTGAACTCACTCCAGGTTCGACCTGAGACCGATCGGCTATATCGATATGCACGACCTCCACTGTTTTCCATGTGGTGGGATCCAGATCATGTACCTGGTATTGGGCACAAACAAACAAAAAAAAATCAGCCCGAGCATGAGATTACCGATGCATTCAAAACATCAAATAACAAAGAAACGTCTCACTCACATTCTCTAAAGAGCCCGTGTCAGGTTTGTGCCACGTTTCAATTTTAATCATGAAGTCATCTTTCATGTATTCGTTCTGAGGAGAAGATACAGTGATGCTTACATTGATATAATGCGGTTTTATCACAAACAGCAGCAAGAATTCACTTTAAACTGAGGTTTAACAGCGCATGCAATGCAAATATTCTGAAGTCCAGCAACTTTAGAGCGATTCAAACTGCATATTTTTAAACTGGCTTTAATGCAGGAGGGAACAAGTTTCTAGAAAACAGGAAATAAAAAGGCTGAACTCCAATTTCTTCGTAAACTGGCATTATGATTGGTGTGCTGAACTAAAATAAATACACATACAGTGGTCCCAGAACATATTCAGGCACTTGAAGGAATAGTTCAGCCAAAAATGAAAACTTGCTGAAAATGTACTCACCCTCAAGACATCCAAGATGTAGACGAGTTTGTTTCTTCATGGGAACAAATTTGGAGAAATGTAGCATTGCATCACGTGCTCACCAATGGATGCTCTGCAGTGAATGGGTGCCGTCAGAATGAGAGTCCAAACAGCTGATAAAAACATCATAATAATCCACAAGTAATCCACACCACTCCAGTCCATCAGTTAATGTCTTGTGAATTGAATAGCTGAAGAAACAAATCCATCAAGATGTTTTACCTTCAAACTACTACTTCTGGACAAAATAATACAAAAAAAAAAAAAACGAGTCCATAATCCATGATAAATCTTCCTCCAGTGAAAAAGTCCATCTCCTGTTGTTCGCTCACATCACAAAATCCAACCACATATTTGTTTAGAGCTGTTTTAGACTGTTTTCACTTGTAAATGGTGCTTGAGCTGTGCATATTTCTCTCCTGATTCTGACAACTTTTTTCACTGGAGGAAATGTTCTTATGGATTATAGACTCATATTTCAGCCAGAACCATTGGTTTGAAGTTAAAAAAGTCCTGATGGATTTGTTTCTTACAAACATGCAGATTTTAACTTCACAATAATACAACTGATGGACTGGAGTGGTGTGGATTACTTGTGGATTATTGTGATGTTTTTATCAGCTGTTTGGACTCTCATTCTGACGGCACCCATTCACTGCAGAGGATCCACTGGTGAGCAAGTGATGTAATGATACATTTCTCAAAATCTGTTCCGATGCACAAACAAGCTCATCTGCATCTTGGACGGCCTGAGGGTGAATACATTTTTAGCTTGAAGCCACACTTGAATGAATGTTATTGCATACGATGACATAATAATAATTTATCAAAAAGAAAGACAACACGTGCACTTTACAATCAATTTTTGGCAAAAACGAGTTTGAAACTAAACAAAGACATGCAGATACAGACATTCATTCACACACTTACAATTGCATCTAAATACTTTTTAAGGTCACTGTGTCAATTCATACCCTTAGAATCAATTAAATGTTTGACTCGATTAAAAACAACTTTTAGTAAATGACCATGCACTACAGTTTAGTGTACAGTCATAAAAACAGCTAGTTTTCGTACTTACAGTCACAACTGAGGAGAATGGAGCAACATGCAAAAATAAAAGAAGAAAAATCATCAGGTGAAATAATAAACCATTCATATTTCCACTGTCAAAACAGACCAATACAAATGAGGCCCGAAACATACTCCGAGTACATGAATGCAAACCGTTATAGCTACGAAATATGTCAGAGGTCAATTCATATCGCAATTCAAGTACGCACTGCGTTCTTAGTCTATCAGACTCTACGGGTCTCTTTCAGTCATTTATCTAACTTAATGTTGGTTAAAAAAAACATGTTTATGGCAAGCTACCAATAAAACAACACAGTTTAGCTCGGTATGCTTTGTTTGAGTATTCATGTCTGCGTTTGCGTACTTGCGGAGTATGTTTCCGGCCTAATTCTTTACCAAACAGCACATGTGAGAACTTTGTAAAACAATCAAAAAACACTGTATACGCATGACATCTGTGCCAATATGTAACTCATTACATATTGTTGTATGCAATAAAAATATGATAGTGACGGATTGTGTGGTATAACAGATGAAAAGGTTTCCACTCACTCGTGCGACAGTATGGATAAGCATTCCAGGCCTTTTCGTGGAAAACTAACGCCCCCTCTGGTGCAATCATCCTCACAAAGCCCGGCACTTTACTAGATGAACGCAAAACACAAGAACAATGAAGCAAAGCCGGAGTAATTATTTACAGCTTCGCATTAAGTTGAATGCCATCTGATAATGTGCTGCAAATAACTTGAGATGTGTCACATGTAACAATACTAAACCGCAGGTGGTGTTAGCATCATGAAGTAAGAAACATTTCAGCAATTACAGAAAATTACTAACTTGACAATACTTTTAAAGTTCAGTGAACTCATCTTGGCGTACAGAATAAAACTAAGCCGTTGACTCTTCCTTACCTCTTTAAGTGGTAGATTTTGTGTGTGTATTGCCCCTTCTCGCCCTCCTTCTCATATGGTTCGTTCTTTAGCACTTCAATGCCCTCTCCACCCCCCGTCTCATTTTTACTGGCCTCAGCCACAGAGAAAAGCTGCCCGACTTGATACTGCAATGGCAGAGAGAAGAGAAAAAGGTGAGGTTTGATAGACGGGAGGTATAGATGATCAAAGCATAACCACACTTAAAACTTCATATCAAATCAAAGGTGACTAACCACTCTATGAACCCTATGAATACCTTATGAAATCAAAAACTGAAGTTTAGTCCAGGACTATTATAGTTAACTAAAACCATATTTAAAAAAAAAAAAGAAAGAAAGAAAGAAAAGTTGGTCCTTGCAGTATTATTTTAGTATCACTGAAATACTACTTTTATATATAGTTGTCTTTAATTTCCTTACTCAGTTTTTATGTGTATATTTTCTGTTTTCATTTTACTTCTAGTATTTTTGTTGTGTTTTTGTCATTTTTAGTAGTTTCTTTTTTTATGTCTTTATAGTATAGTTTTTCTTGACTTTTTATTTCAGTTATATTGGTATTGGTAAGTCTAATTAAATGAATATGGAAAATACTGCCTTTAGAACTAGCTGAAATAAAAAGTTTATTTTATATAATTATTTTATTTCACATAATGAAAATATTTTAAACATTTAATTGTTTTAATTTTAGATTAAGGTTTAGTTAACTATAATAACCCAGGTAACTTGAAATAAAATAAACATCAACTTAAATAAAAATAAATCATAAAAAGCTTATTTTTATTTTAGCTAAATGTCAAGGGAACATCTTGTTTTTATTTACTTTAACTTGATGTATTAAAATAATTGAAAATGAAATTGAAACGCTATAGAAACTGTACAGACAAAAAAGTACCATAAAATTACAAAAACAAACATTCTAAAAATGTAACAATTTAAAAAGAAAAATATAAAAATAAAATTAATTTAAAATATTAATAAAAACCATAACAGTATCTCAATGATGCAAAATAACACTTTTTTAGTCTGTGTCTTTGTGATCATCTATATGCTAGTGCACACCTAAAAAGTCCTCTTGGAAAGGAGATTTTTAATCTTAAAAGAAGTTTTTTTTATCTTACCTGTTAAAATTAGGTAAACATCATAATTTTAAACTAGCAGTCTCGCATGCATGAATACACAAACCCTACAGACTTCATATAGCAAACACACTCAGATCAGCGTCTGTGGAATTAAACAGCTCTCGTATAATTAAAATATGTCACTTCCAGCAGTTCCAGATATGAAGACAAAGCTTTGCATAGTGTGACTGATTGATGCCTTAGAGGGACATTACAGCAAAACCAGTTTTATTAAAGCAAACAGGGAACTGATGTAGATATATATGCATGAATACTTACGCTATGCTTTGGACAAAAAAGCCATTTAAAAAAATAAAAATAAAAAAAATATCAAATAAAAATAAACCGGTACTCAAACTTAAGCTGAAATAAAAATGTTAAACTATATAGCAGGTGTATTATAGTTAACTCAAATTAAAGCTGAAACTAAAATTAAAACCATTTTTAAAAGTTTTTGTCTCTTGAAATAAAATGAACATTATCTGAAAAAAAAAGTTAAAATAAATCTGTGGGGGGGGAAAAAAAATAATAATAATAATAATATTATATATATAAAACTAATCCAAAATAAAAACTATAATAGTATCTTAATGAAACTAAAATAACACTGCTAGACATTTAAGAGTCAAACCCAAAAACAAACAACAAAACTAGAATTTTAACTCAAATGAAAATGCAAAAAACATCATCATCCATCATCTTGGACTTATTTTCTCACTTGAGCTTTAGGGATGTAACGATTCGATTCACGATTTTGCTTTCCTGATTCGATTTTCTCACGATTGCTTTTAACAAAATTAGAGTAATACATTATACAGTAAATGAAAAGGTGTTGTTTTATTAGGCTATTGCTGCACGTTTCTTTGTGAAATTGAAATGTAACAAAACTAAATTGAAACTTTAAAACAAACCCCAAATCAAACAAGTTACACAAATAAAATAAATCTCTTAATATGAACAAACTAAGGCTTTACAACCGTCTACGCACACCTTGCCGATATAATCGCCATTGGCTAGTACATTTTTTAGTGTACTCGCCAGACTGATAAACTATTTTACACACACACACACACACACACACGATTCCAATCAGCTTATCTTTGTAGAATGGCACAGCTTCTTAAATTTTAGTTTCTTAATCAGTCAATCAAGCATTATATTATATTATGATAATTAAGTACTATTTAATTATAGACAAACCCCAAATCAAACAAGTTACACAAATAAAAGAAATCTCTTCATATGAACAAACTAAGGCTTTACAACCTTCTACGCACACCTTGCCGATATAATCGCCATTGGCTAGTAAATTTTTTAGTGTACTCGCCAGACTGATAAACTATTTTACACACACACACACACACACACACGATTCCAATCAGCTTATCTTTGTAGAATGGCACAGCTTCTTAAATTTTAGTTTCTTAATCAGTCATTATATTAACTTTAAAACAAACCCCAAATCAAACAAGTTACACAAATAAAAGAAATCTCTTCATATGAACAAACTAAGGCTTTACAACCTTCTACGCACACCTTGCCGATATAATCGCCATTGGCTAGTAAATTTTTTAGTGTACTCGCCAGACTGATAAACACACACACACACACACACACACACACACACGATTCCAATCAGCTTATCTTTGTAGAATGGCACAGCTTCTTAAATCTTAGTTTCTTAATCAGTCAATCAAGCATTATATTATATTATGATAATTAAGTACTATTTAATTATAGAACTTTAGTGATTAGAACTAAAACTTTGTAACCATATATGAATGCATGGCATTTTAACTGAACTTAGGACTGGTGGTGATGCTTAAGTTATTGTTGGTCATTAATAGGGCTGGGTTTGACACAAATTTCACGATTCGATTCGATTCACAAGCTTGCGATTCGGTTTGATTACCAATGCGATTCGATTAGATTCAATATCGATTATTTTAGATATATATCAGTTACAGTACATGCCAAATTTTCTCAAGGAAAAAAAAATCTCTCAACTAATGTTGTAAAATATACATGAGAGTCAGTTGGTACTACATTACTATAATATTGAAGGTTAAAATGGACTGATTTGTTAAAATTACACTTAATGAAGTTTTTAAAATAATAAAGTTACAATTACATAATATTTCTACTTCAATTCGTTTTTTTTAAATATAAACATAATGGTGGCTGTCAAAAACTTTTATGAAAATTAAACATTGAAGAACAGTCAAATTTATAATGAATATGTTATATGGTGCATATATTTAGCAAAATGCCCCTCTCTACAGTTTATTTTTCTAGCTGGCTAATGATTTTTTGGTCACCGAATATGTTTATGTGAGGTAAATATGACGTTACGTGACATTGTTTACAAGCCGTTATATTGACATCTTTGCGCGGCTGAAACACTGACATAATATTTCTACTTCAATTCGTTTTTTTTAAATATAAACATAATGGTGGCTGTCAAAAACTTTTATGAAAATTAAACATTGAAGAACAGTCAAATTTATAATGAATATGTTATATGGTGCATATATTTAGCAAAATGCCCCTCTCTACAGTTTATTTTTCTAGCTGGCTAATGATTTTTTGGTCACCGAATATGTTTATGTGAGGTAAATATGACTTTACGTGACATTGTTTACAAGCCGTTATATTGACATCTTTGCGCGGCTGAAACACTGATTGAGCGATTACAAGAGACAGGATACGAATTGTAAACTTATACTCTTTCATTTAACTTACCTTCGGATGTTTAGCAGAGCCCGACCGATATATCGTTTTGCCGATATTATCGGTGTAAACTTATACTCTTTCATTTAACTTACCTTCGGATGTTTAGCAGAGCCCGACCGATATATCGTTTTGCTGATATTATCGGCCGATATAAGCCTGTAGCCGATAAATCGGTATCGGTGAATATGCCGCCGATATGAATTTTTTTTTTTACAGAACATATAATGCAGATAAAATGCTTGAAATGGTGTAATTACTTAGTTTGTCCAGCAGTGTGCTCCATTGTTTGCTACTGGTGACCTGGATGAAACGCTTTAAAGCTTAAGTCTATGGAAAACCATTGAAACTTTGAACGGCGAATCCGCACCAAATTCGGGGATCTCTTGAGCTCGAGGAACCCTCTCGAACACGAATCGAGTGTACGTCTTGAGGCCCTCTTTTGAATGAGACCACCCCGCGTGGATTCAGGAATTACAGGTGGTTAAATTCGCAGTCCGGCTCCAAACGATCAAGAGATCCCGGGGTGTTTCTCGTTGTTTATCATTAAAATGTATTAAAGTAAATAGTGTAAATTACATCGCTAATGTCATAGAATAGCACATTGTAACGCAGTTACAACGTGCCCCATTTGCGCAACTGGAATTTAAAACTGGTTATTGTCTTCTGCTAGTAATCAAAGCATTAAAAAAAACTATCTGAACTGATAAATAACAGATTGGAGATTAAAATAATAGCAGATTTGTCTAATTTTAAATTAATAATAAAAAACTGAGATATAAAATTTACTTAAGCCAGAATTTAAATGTTTCTATGGGAAAATAAATATTCAAACAACGTGTGTTACAACTAACACCCCGTTACTTTGTGCATCGCACTCATCGCAAGTTTATTGTTAAATGCCCTTACTACATATCTCTGTCACCATTATAAGTGTTTGATCACCACATTTGAGTGATCATTGCAAAAAATGTGTTTATGTATATATATATTCTGTTTATGTATATACTGTATTCTATATATAGTACCAGTCAAATGTTTGGACACACGAATGGGAAAGTGTCCAAACTTTTGACTGGTACTGTACTATAATATACACAAAGAATTTCGGCCGATATATTGGTATCAGCCTTTTTTTACTCCCTAATATCGTTATCGGCCCCAAAAACCCCATATCAGTCGGGCTCTAATGTTTAGTCATGATTATTTTGTGCTGAAGCTGGTATTAATGTGGAGGAGATGATTAGCTCATGCGCGCCTCGCGCTGCCGCGTCTGTTGAACTGAGGCGCTACAGCAATCTGTCACTTCACATTAAACAGCGCCAAAACGGCATTTATTGTTTGAATACTGCAATATAATGGACATAATTTGAAATCTGAGACTTTGTTTCATATTAAAAGTACCAAAGCACAATGCTTATTGCGATATATTGGATGGGAAGTGCCCTTCAACGTTCCGTCCATTAACTGAAAACAGGATAGAATAATCGATTCTTGGGATTTAAGAATCGATAT